GGTCTAAACGAAAGACCGGAGGCAGTCGTGCGGGCTTTGCAAGTGCTGGAAGTAAGAGAGCGTGTAGAGCGCGAGAGAAGAAGGCCGGCACCAGATCTGGACACGGGGGAACAGGCTTTGGTTCGAGAGATGTGTAATGTGGTTTGGGGAAAATTGGAGGACGCGCCCCCGCAAGCGCCGCAACGTTAAAGTGGTTATAAAACATTCAGTGTTTCCTTTTTGATGTTAATGAGGTGAAACTGTATCTAAGTTCGATGAAAGTGCGTAAAAAGTCGACAAACGCGGAGCATCGGCAGTGGAATCCTACCCTATCGAGGTCACCGCCGGTGTCGACTCTCGTGACCCAAAGACTCGCGCCGACCTTGTTTATTAATCGAGTGTGTAACTGAACTTTGTAGTTTTTATAAAAATAACAACCGTGATATTTTGTACATCTTGCCCTTTACAAACAGTGATTACAGGAAAATATGACGGAAAACGATACCTAAAAGTACAAAGTTATAGTGCTAAGTTCATCTAGATTTAAGATATATTTATTTGTTAAGGACACTTCTCGATTCGCTCTTCGAAATGTTTTTTATAGATTTTTTAACTAAATATTATAATGGTTAAATTAAATTAAGCTTTATATGAGCTTTTGTTGATGAGGCTATATTACAAGCTCATAATTATTTCTGAGTATAGAAATTTTGTTTTAATCATGCTAATGACGCTAACGTTGAACTGTTTTTATTATAAGTGTGAATAATTCTTAAAAATTGTTATTAGTATTCGTCTTTTTATTGTTTACTTGTAAACAATGCAGAGTGCATGAGCCATCCGTAAATAGTATTGTTCCATAAGTGTGTCACGCAGGAAAAAAAAGGAAGTTCACTCATAAAGTTTTAGGATGCCCATACATAAAGTTACTAAACTTTATAAGTAGAGTTATTTCTGTTGAAAATTAATCATGTCCTTATAAAAATGTAAATGTCACTGCTTATTACAAATTTACGTTTTATTTCTGTTTTTTTAATATTTGCGTCGAAAAATTGTTAATTGTTTTTATTATACATGCGTTTGATTGTATGTTATGTTGTCCTTATGTAATATGATACGATTGCAATCAAGCTGTTCTTAAAAAGTAGAGAAAAATTGAATTACTTTGTTCATTAAATAGAGCTTGTGCATACAGAGAATTGCTTATCTAGTCAACCATATATCCGTTTTTTACGTGAGTTTTCACTAGCGAAAATGCGCACAAAATCATTGCCATTCCTCATTTTCTTAGAAACCATTGAGATAGCGAGATGTTTTTGAGTGTTTGGGCAGTGAAAACTTACGGTTACACGTTCTGATTTCATACCACTGCACTCACTTCTCTAGAAATGTTATTAATTTATTAATCTTAACATGAATGGAAATAAATTATTTGTGTTTAATTTGGTTTATTTTTACCCTTTGTATTAAATTTAAAATAGATGTATAAATTACTGAGAAAAACTAAAATGCCTTCAATTTGTCTCGACCTACATAGATAATAAAAAAAATTTGACGGTTTTCTATACTAATATTATAAAGAGGAAAGATTTGTATTTTTGTATGTATTGACACAATTCAAAAGCTACTGGGCCGATTTCAAAACTTCTACCATGTACCACTTGTAATATAGGCTGTGTTTTTTTTTTTTCATTATTTTTTAATTTCACGTGTCGTTATGGACTACATGTTGATAAGCATTTTCTTTGGAATAAAAATATTTTTGACTACTAAAATGAATATCGCCTTTGGATAAGTATATAGCGCTAATAGAAGAAATAAATGACAAATTTAATGTCCTTACATTGTAAGATTGTAACTTTGAAATGCGAATGACCGCTCCTATGTATTGTTGGGGGGCAGTGACTTGTAGCTCGTAGCGAATGATTCTTAAAGCGTCAAGCCTATCTTTTCGTCACACGGACTTTATAATGTAAAAATGCATTGTTTTATTTCTTGTGTAAATGACTTAGATTAGTTTCTACTTCTTAATGCACCTTTGGTTTGCAAGGCAAAGGAAAATTATAATAAAACGTTAAATATTCGTGGTTTAAACGAAATCGAATTGTTGGTACTGTAAATAATAAAGAATCTATATGTAATAGAAGGCAGTCAGATGCTTTAATTTAATGTAACGTTAGTGAACATATTATTATATCTGTTTTTCAAAAGAGTATGAAAAGGATGTCGATGTTTTTGTACAAAATTGGGCAGTGTAAATTCACGGTTAGCGATTTTGCATGAGTGTTCTCTTGAGGCGAAGTTACCAGGGCATATCTAGTAGTTGTTACAAAGATTACGTTATTATTCCATAGCAGACAGGGTTTAAAAACCCAAACGTCATTAAAATAACAAAAAAATATACCTGTCACATGTCATAATTATAATACTTCAAGTCATTTTAATTTACATGTTTAGGATTATTGTACGAATATTTATCTGGAGAACGCTAGATATATTTGTGAATAAATATGCCAGAAATGAAAGGAGAGGACAGAGGCGAAGATGAGGATACTATTGGCGTAATGACCTTTCTGTACTTACATATTAAATACAAGCCCATACTATGCTATGTTAAAAACCTTACAATAAAAACACTTCAATAGACGCCTGATAAAAATAAATAGCAGAACACTTTAACTGACGGTGCGGAAGTTCTTTTAAAATGTTTGTATGTATTTTCTAGATTTACGTCGGTGGTAGGAATATCGAAGGCGAGAGACATGGCGAGGGCTGGGCCGTACTGCCTAACGGAGACTTCTACCAGGGCTGTTACTGTCGCGGACTCAGAAACGGGAAGGGCTTGTATGTGTTCAAAAACGGTGCGCGCTATGAAGGTAAATAATAAAAAAACTGAGGCTCCCCTAATTTCGTATGATAGTTGAGTTTCACTTTATTTCGTTTAAGGTGAATGGCGTCGAGCGATGAAGTACGGTGTCGGTCAAATGACTTACCCTGATGGGTCCCGTTACGAAGGCGATTGGAGATATGACCTGAAGCAAGGTTTTGGTGCATATTACTACCCCAACGGTGACATTTACGAAGGAGCTTGGTTCAAAGGCAAGCGCCATGGACTGGGGACATATTTTCACGCTGAATACCAAGTTAAATTCATGGGTACGTGGGTTGATGGTGTTATTGAAGGTCCTGGCCAGATCATGTACCCGCGGGTTCGGTTCCACGGCTCATGGTTTAAAGGTATGCCTAAAGGACCTGGCTGTTTCGTATTCGATACTAATTGTATGCAGCACGGGTTCTACGAGCTGATCAAAGACCCGAAATTTGAAGAGTACGGAGAACACGAGGAAGAGAAAGAGGAAAAAGAGGAGAAGGAAGGAAAATATGAAGGCGAGGAAGAGATAGAAGTGGATGAGACAGCTGGTAAATAAAATCAACTTCTTTTTTTTAATATTCTGAACCACATTTCTATTCTATATCGAGCTGCAAATATGGGTAAATCAAATCCTTTGTGCAATGTTTGTAGGTAAGATATCAGTGTGGCGCGCACGCAACGTGACAGCTTACCTGGCAGAGTTCCTTCCGCCGGAGCCTGTCCCGCTGCCTGTACACGACTCTGTGCCGTCACTGACACACGAGAGCGTCAGCACCGAGCTGATGCAGTTCGAGCAGCCCACCCTCGCCTCCGAGCACGAGGGCGACGACAACGATTCCTGGCTGCTGCATCGACAGCAGTTCATCGAAGAAGCGGAGCAGAAAGATTGATAAGGGAGACATGATTGGGGCAAATAAAAACATAATATTAACTAACTTTTTCATACCACCTCACCTCATGTGGCTTATCCGATATCTTATGTAATAAAATTACAAAATACAAATACAAATTATTTGCAAATAAACGAGCTTCCTTCATGATTGTCATTGAACTTGTTTCAACAAATGATAATGGTTGGTAGGCATTTTAATGCTGGTCTAATAAGTACAGTTAAAGCATATTTAATAATGATTCCACCACTTTGTATGCCATTTGTATACACACTCAGTATATAAACTTTTTAACAGCTGCATATGTTGACAACACCAACATAAATAAAAATATGAATTAGAACTTAAATATTTATTACAATTGGTATTACTGCCTACATTATTAGACACAGTGTATATTAACAGTCAATAGTTCAGAAAAACATCTGCCAAAACTTCATTAAAGTATAACAAAAGTATGCTATTAAACTGGCACAACCTTCTTCTTTTGCCATAAATAAGTTCATTAAAGTAAAATATTCTAGTCATTTAACTCACAAGTAATCAACATGTAAGGAAGTAGATAGAAAATACAAATAGAGACTATTGTAAATGTTTTCGGACTTTCTAGATTCAATATCAATTAGTAATTAAATTATTTAAACTTTCGTGAGACATTATCAAAAAAAAAATTAGAGAGAACTTAACTCATAAACAAGCTTACAGTGCCAGCACATGCCAGTTTTGGATCCGCCAAAGGAATATGTGAGTTAAGTTATCTGTAATATTTATTCAATTAGTTGTATACATATATATTCAGTCTGCATATTATATTTCGAAAGAGTAGAGTAGTCACAGGCTTCCGAGAGGCATAAAAATTAAGCCAAATCATTCAGGCTAATAAAAACTTGTGCACTGACTCCACTTGAGTTGGATAAGTCTAGGAATATAACATTCAAGAATACAATAACTAGGGATGTACAAAAGTACTACAACACTATCCTAAACTTATGGTGACTCGAAATAATGCAGGACAGAAAAGTATTTAACATTTAAGTATTATTGGGACTTTAATGGGCTCACTCATACTGCTTTTTCCGAACCCACATTAGGTTGAGAATCTGCACTTGTTGGAGGTTGATATGCTATTGTGACCTCTTTACAGACCACAAATTGCTATACTTCAATCTTATAATACAAAATACAATATTGTGTAAACCATCACATTAAATGGTAATTGTGATGGTTTACAATTAAATTTATTGGCTAAAGTTAGGTTACACAATTGTCTGTGACACAAATTGTTATAAGAAAAATATCCATTTAAATTGGCAACAAGTTTATCTATTTATTGCTAAAAACAAAATGAAACGAGTTACAAAACTTATCGAGATCAATATTCATTATCAAGACATGGTTTATTTCTTTATTCTGAATGCAACTGAGAAGTATATTATATTTCATATTAAAATTCTGTGTATATATTTGGTCAATTAGATAAAATTTATTGCCAATTAATAAGGATGAAACTAAAAGTTTTAACGATCACCTTGTGGATATATTATGCTAAATTAAATTAAAATTTATCTATGTTTGAGAATTTGGTGCTGCATTGTTGTTAGATCCAGCATTGTTATTTTCAAATGTATTTTTATTCTTAAGTAGATAAGCAGCTAAATAACTGATGGGATCTGGTGGTCTCTCTTTGGCCAACGCTGATAGCCCTTGTAATAATATAGGAACAACTGTTTGGTCTAGGTACTGGCGCGTAGGCAGTGCGTTGAGATCTATTCTTGATTTTCGATTAGCATTCGTTTCATTCTCTTTTTCCATGGCTATAACTTTCTGTAAATTGTAATTAAATTACAGCTAAAATTTCAATGAGTTTTTGATTTATTGGATGATGCATAGGAACATTTAAAAACACTTATTACCTTTATGGAATCAGGTATTTTCGTTGATGGCTGTTCGTCCTTAGCGGCTTGACTCACTGTTGTTGAGGTTTCTGACATCGGTTGCAGATATTTATAGACACAGAACCGGCTTTACAAATAAATTACTCTCTTCAAATTATAAATTAAAATAAACCCCTGTTTGCAATTGATTAACAAAAAATAAAAGAAAATGGCTCAACTCAACTCAAAGTTCAAAGATTTTTTAAACAGGATGACAGCCATAGATTATTGAGTTCATAGAAGTGACAGTTTATGAAAAGGTAAGTCACAGATAAAAAAAATAGACAATGTCAATATTTTTGACAGCCATTGTAACTCGATGTTTGATTCCGAATTCCGATGATAGATTTTATAATTCAATTTTAAAAACAATTCAACTCAGTTGAAATAAAAAAAAATGTTGGCATCTTAAAATTACTTTTGATACTTTAAAAATCAATCAAAATACTATTTTTACCTAGTTCGGAGAAAATCCATAAATAAGAGTAAGCAAAGAACACGCTATAGTAGCGCTATTTCCTTCTGAAGGTCTACGCTCTTCAATATGAACAAATTATTTGCATGATTCCTTAACCTTGTTCAGCAGTGTTAGGTAAATTCTTAATATTTTAAAAATTAGTGGAGTACGTATTTATAGCATTTTCATTGTACATTCTTGGATTACATTCTAAATTATTATTTGATCATTTTTAATTTGTAATATATTTCCTCCCGTTCTGGTACATTGGAATAGTTGGTTGAATATGAACTATTGTAACCAAAAATATGTTTGATCTAAAACTGTCGTTTTGAGGCTTACACGAGATTTATGAGGAATAAAAAATTTGTAACATTTATCTTATCATTTATTTTAAAAAACTTAATAATTAACAATAAAACTTAATTTAAAATTCACACCATATATATAACACACTTTTCCACACTCTATTATTTACGTAGGTTATTGCATATTTTCTACATTTTAATCATTTGCATCCAATATCAAGGACTATAAGGACTTTGCGAATACCAAGCAAAGTTGTTTATCTGTTTAGTCAGGTACCTAAATTGCTAGTTTCCTAAACATCTTGCAAAATATTTTACAATTACTCAAACGGATTTATAAAAACAGGAAATGACTTTTCTACCTGTTGTCTATGAATTAAAAAACAATGGACCATAAAGCATTGTTTGGTTTTTGTTTTTATTTAAAAGTGCGTCCGAAATTTTGCCCTTGACTTTAAAAATGTTTTGTTAATAAACAAGTTGACAAAACAATCTCAAGCAATGCCGGGTTTAAAAAGTAAATGACCCAACTCATCTTTCACTTAAAAGGTGAAGAGTCGATACATTTATGAGGTCGAAAATGAATAAATTTTAGCGAGCACTATTCATGAGATATTTTTAATGGACAATTTTGCTTATTCTCTAATCAAATTAAAACGGTTGTAGGGCTACAAGTTTATTTCAAATTGGTGTATTTCTTGAACATCCTTGTACTATCTTATGTGTAAAATTAAAACAATAAATAAAATGCTTAATTTTTCTTAATATTGTACTTGACAAAAACATCGGTGGAAGGATGTGGGTACTAAAGCGAGGGTAATTCGTTCAAAAATTTATTAGTAGTTAGGTGCGCAGATAGTGCGGGGGCGGTGGCGGCGGCGCGGGGCGGAGGCGGGGCGCGCGCTCCAGCTGTCTTCGCCAGGCCGCCATTGCTTCGCTCAGAGACCACAGCTCTGATAGTAGGCAGAGGTCCAACTGACGAAGACTGGCCTGAAAAAAAACAAAAACTTATTTGAAAATTTGTACAATTGTCTCAATTAAAAAAAAAACAAACTTATATTCTTAGACCAACATATGGGCTATTGTTTTTCCGTTGTAATTGTTTAGTAGCTTATTCTCATGCCATAAACAAAACGATCTATGGCTTCATGTTGTATAGCTTAGAAATACTCCGGAACAGGAAGGTTAAAACAAAACAGCTAACGTGTGCAAGGACAGTCAACTTTGTAACGTGGAATTCATAGGTAATTAATGATAAAGCACTTGTATTAATAGAATTCTGGTAAATCAGACGTTACCTAATTGTTAACCCTATGACTGCTACACCGTTATTGGATTAAATGAACTTTTCTTTGCAAGTGAAGGTAAGAAGATATTAATAGGTAGTCAGGGTTAATATTACATTTGTTATTATAAGTTTAACCTTTATTACAAATAATAATCATTTTATTTTCTGTTATTGCTTCTCAAGGGTACTTATGTTTAGTTTTCTCAAGGAAATCCGGTTGTTTATGTTGATATTAGTATAATAGGGTTGACATTTGAAGGATAGGTGTTTTATTAAGTCATTCATGCGTGGTTTTGTCGGGCTGATACTGGGTCAAGGAGCGGTACACGGGGCTTGGCCATGTACCGTGAAGAGTCGTGAATAAGTACTAAACGGAGGTACTACTTAACATTTAAAGACAAACCCACTGCCGATACATCTTTAACTAAACATACTTCTGTTTTTATAAATAAAATGGAGATAGCCACGTATTTCTGACCATACAAGTTCTCTAAGTATTGGAAAGACTATCATATTGTTATTTATTTTATATAGCACTTTGCAGTGACTGTAAACATCGAACTGTTCAGATTGTAACTGCAATGGACTTTCAATTGCTCAATATTTAAGTTAGTTATACAATATAAATAGAGGTCTAGATTAGGTACAGTGGTAGCGTACGATTTGCACTGGGCGACAAGTGGTCGGCCTTAGCGTTCACCGATTACGTTAGGAATGCGGGATGTCCATTGAATATAGAGAAACGGACTAGACAAAGAACCGCTGGTGTACCTACTATTTTTTTTTCGATGGCGCGATAAAAATGACAATCCTAAATGCAATCACTGAAGTAAAATTGATTCTTCTCCGTTTAGTACTTAATGTTCGTCTTAATTTGCCAATGGGAATGCGCGCACTTTACAGATCCTGTCTCTTAAAAGGCTGTGATCGTAGCCGATGTGGGTCGCCGCTCGGGGAGATATGCGCACCGTTTGTGCTCCGTACACCTGTCACGTCCGGCACCAGCTGACAGGCACATATAATGGCACTACACTATGTTAATTCACATAAGTAAAGGGTACAAGTAGAATTGATAAACTTAAGTTGTATAGGCCGAGCGTATACTTGTAGAACGAAATATTCAGGACCAAGAGCAAGTAGAGGAAACCTTATATTTATTACACAGAAAACAATAGACTAGTAGTAACTACATCCAGAAATTCCACTAATCAGTCTAAAACATACAATAAAGTTTCAAATCAGGTACATAAGCGTCTGTAGCCAAGTATTATGTTATGCTCTAATAACTAATACATGCATACACTTATGCATTAATAACGCATTGCCACAAGATGAAATATAAATAACCGCTGATTTCTCAATAATACAAATTAAAAAACTCCTAACTTAAGTATTACCTAGTCTGAATAGAAGACTAAAAATGTTGTATCACTTCGCGTGCGAATAAGTATTTATAGTGTAACTTTTATTACGACAATACATAGCCCAAGTTGATATTAGAGCTATAAAATTTTATACGCCAAAGAAAGCGGCGTTTTATCGGGTTTTCTTTCCTAAATATGCCGTTAGAAATCGAACTCGTAATCTTAATGCATTAATGATTTTAATTTAGATTCTAATAGTTGTTCTCAATTCAATTATCATATCGTGTTACGCGTGTTTTAATGAATTACGCCTACAATTTGAATAAATTGTTACAAATTATTATGAATCTGTGCTTCATCTTTGCCTTCTGAGTGATTATTTATTACTCTTATTTAAAAACATTCGTTTTCAGACCTCATCAAACAAAACAAATGCAGATTGACGAATTCAAGTGGCCACTTACTCATGTCACCTTATACTATTTAAAAAAAACCAGTTTAGTCTACTTCCGCGAATTCTGGGATTGATGTTTGGATTCTTCCAGTCTTCCTTTTATCTCTTTTTACTTTCTAGTATTAACGGCAATAACAGTCTATACCTATGACAGGTTAACGGCCTAATCGGTAGAGTGGGCATGCGGGCCGAGAGAGCGGGACATTTTCACAACAAACTATAATTAGAACTAACAACAAAAGTCAATTAGCGTGTCGCTTCGAACGTTTTTCAAAATACCATAAACTGCAAGTGTTTAGTCTGTATTTCGAGCTTCGGACTAAAGAAACTGCAAGTTGGCTATCTGGAAATATTTCATTTTATGAATATTATAGTAAATAAATTGCAGAGATCTCGCAGGGATCGTATCTTAGACTAGCAATCTCGCGTGACGTCACCAGTCAAACGTGACGGCAAACTTTTTCTCGCATTCCCGAGGAGATTGGTCAGGAAAGGGGGAAAGTGGATATTAGAGTCCGCACGATCCGCCGGACATCAGGTATGCGCATAAACGTATCTCGTTAGCATAGCAACATAATGTATTTTGTAATTGTATTTGATCTCAGATTTACTACATAAATTTTCAAAATTGTAATTACCCAAATTATAAAAAAAACTGAGTGTCAATCCTCACTTTCTTTGAACAACAAGTATTTTTTAATACAAATGTAAAGGTAGTGGAATTCGACGGATATACTGAGTAGCCTAATGCTGGAAATATCAACAATATTTATTGGTACACGATTTTTAACCCCGAGTAGAAGAAAATCAGTATATAAGTTAGACATTTATTATAAATGCCTCATTTTATCAGAGCGTTTCAAGAGCTCTCATAAAGGTTTTCAGGTTTACAGCCTACATATGTGAGATATTCCAGCGTTTGACGTCATACTTCAAGAGATTCTATTTCTGGTATCGCGATTATGAATATGGAACATGCTATCACATCAATCAATTAAAACATGAGTTTAATAAAATGTATGTTAAAAATATGCTAGATATTGAGGATAAATTAGTAACTATTACATCATACTAATCATACTTACTACTAATATTATAAATGCGAATGTTTAGATGGATGGATATTTGTTAAAGTTTGTAGCCTAAACGGTTGAACGGATTTAGATGAAATTTAGTATAGATGAGGATAGTGTGGACGAACACATATGTATGCTACTCACTTTTTAAAAAAATATTTCCCTCTGATTGAGTCGTGGACTAAAACTAGTAAAAAAAAAATTGCTAATTACAATTGCATTGTACAATTTAAATTACC